ACTTACATTAGTAATGATAACGAACAATTTATTACATTATTTTTTTATTTTTAACTTGGGATGCTAAATTAAAGCTGAAACACCCTCGAGCTCCCCCCATCGATATTTTCGACTGATATTATATTATAAAAATGTTATTCGAGTCACGTGTATATATTATAAAGTTACGATTATGAATGAAGGTAATTGAAACACGTTTAACGATTTAAACGTGTGTTTCGGTAGATTACGTTGTTGTTATTGTTTTACAGATTATTAGTTATAAATGATTACATCTAAAATCAAATAACAAGTGTTTCGTTAAACACCAAATATTAATATTTAAACACCGATTAACAATAGACGTACTACGTTAATTGATTAGGACCAACAATGCATGTGTTACAGCAGTTTATCGATCATAATTTTAATTTAAAAGACTTAAATTCACCTAGTTTATAACTACTTTAGGTATAGTACAACTCAAGTCGTTTTCTGCAGCGAATTCACACTATCTATGTTTTAAGTATACAATTTTAGTAAAAAAAAAAAATAATAATAATCATTATAATAAACGGACTTAATGAATCAGATGACTGATAAGTAAGTACCCAATATTGTTTAAGTATATTTAAAAAATGAAAAATAAAGAAGAAAATTTAATTTAAATAATTCAAAATTTACTCGTTATTTATAAAGTTAATATACGAAAAAAAGGATAAATTTATAGAAAATCAAAAGTAAAAAGTTAGAATTAATTTGTATTGACTTTTTAACTCTTTAAGTCCAGACTCAATAACATATGATGTTCCTAATTTTTCGTCCAAAAAAACTAAATATAGCATAACACAAATTATATAAAGTGACATATCTGTCAAATAAATAAAATTTGTCGAATTCCATTATCGACCCTTACAAGATACCGTAATATTTTCTTTGAACTATTGTATAATTTGATTTGTTTTTTATGTTTGTTTGATCATAAAATATTATTCCATATTTATCCGACTACATACAATATAATATTATTATAACTCTAGATTCTCCAATATAAATAACAGTTTTCAAGTGTTTAGCTTGGATATATAAGTATAGTGGTTGCTGGTTGATTCAAAGCGATACGCTTTTCTGTTTGAACAAAAAACGAGTCGTGCTTTCATATAGGTAGGCAAATATTGTATAATATTACAGGCTTGATTATTTTTTTCATTACTGATGTAGCAGTAGAAAAGTAAAAAAAAAAAATTAAAAAAGGAGGTAGTTGTGGATAAAGAATGTCTCTTATTACTTTTAATATGTGTATTTTATTATGATTATTAATAAAAAAGGCTGATATTGCTGATGGGTATACCACAATTATTAAAAGGAGGAAGTTAGGGTGGTGGAATATATGAAATAATTTTATTTATATTTGTATACGATGATATATAACAACTAACATTAAACTGATTTTAAATTTCAAATAACACAATTCTTACGATTTTACGATTATCATTCTTACGAAAGAATAAAACCGCTAATGCCTAATACTTTTCCGTTTTTCATATGGTCTGTCATAATTTTTTCAATTATTTAACAAATTGCATTCAGGAAATAGCTATTAATTACCAAAAAACTTTTTGGCGCTATGACTTCTAATAGAAAAGTTGGTTACAGATAAAAATAAAAAATTACACTCGCCATAGTAAAACAAATACATTTGTCGTTACGCACAAAATCAAAAAAAATCACGAGTCTTATGAACATGTCTTGTTATCTAATATATTTTAAAGACATCGTTCAGAAATTAAATAAAAAATCAAAAAATCGATTTTGACCTTTTGCTAATACGAACAGCAATCGGAATAGTTGGGGTATGTCAGTCGAATTCTCTATTTTAGTTTTTGAGATGAGCAAGGAATTTATTGATTTTATAAAGATGTTATTTTTTTTTTTATACTGTGTACAAATATTTTACCAGAAATCTTACGCCGATGTATCAAGTGTAGCATATTTTCTGAAAGGGAGTTTTATCTAGTTTTTTTTTTTGTTGTTATTCTGTTGAAAATGTTCAAAGAAATTTAAAATGTATACAAAAATTACATATTTTTCTTTTCTAGACGTGGTCAAATTTTTAAAAATGTTTAGCCATTTTTTAACTATTTATAGACATTTTAATTTTGCGAAGTTTTTATTTGATAGGTACTCTGTGGATACTGCAGTTATTAGACCAAATAGAAATGCTTAAAAATCTAATAAGAATTCTAGGAGTTAAGTATAATTGTACTTGGGTGCCAACATTTTTATTTTATTTATTTTCATAAGAATTTTAATATTACATTTTCAAAAAAATCGTAAATATGATCATTTAAGACATGGATTACCGATCTCCGCTCAAAATCGTTTCTTGTTAGCAATGGTTAATCGTTGCACACGGACATACATCAAATTCTCCTCTATATCTTACCGTCTTCGCTTTCATCTGCAACAGTGCCCCACCTTTCGTGCGAAGTATATACGTCTTTTTATTATAATGGCGATAAAGTAGGTTTTCTAAAAAAAATAAAAACCCAAGATTTACAATCGTTTTTATTATCGTGTTCGTGTTGACCTAACGCAGCCGGTCTCGAATTAAATTACGCGCGCTAGAATCTGAGTACATTTTCAGTTCTTGCATGGTGACAGCTGACTTATCGCACAACTACGCGTTCTTCCGGATAATCCGATTGGCACGGAAATCCGAAATGCCTGCAAACGCGTGATGATCCATTTCTAAGGAGAACAATGAACTCCATTATTATTTTTTGTGTATGACGGTATCTAAACTGAATCTGAGGTTTTCAATACATGAATGCACGCCGTCTAATTCTCGTTCCGAGTGTGCACTTTATATTATTATTATCAACGTCAAAGCTCGCACACTAAATTAATTAAATTATATAAAATATAATAACTTCAAAATAAATAAATAACGAAATAAATATAGAAATAATAAAAAAAAAAACACATATTATTAGCCACGTTTCCCACTGAGTTTGACAAATATTTCCAAAACTGTTAATATTCAATTTTTTGAAAACACGTTTAAAATAAAAAATTTGAATAATGTCTTAATCCTGTATGTATATTTAATTTCATTGTTATCCCTTAAGACCTACGCTCGTGCCAGATATTTTATATATTAAGTATTGAAAACACAATTAATAGTTAAATACTAAAGAGTTAACGTTACGTTAATACACAAGGTTAATAATATGTTGAAAAATATACATAGATTTCTTATGTTTTAGTAGTTTAGATCTGAGCGGAGCGAGTATACTTATACACTATGTTTTTTTTTTTTTTTTTTACTGTCTACAACTCAACCAGACATCTTGCTCCGATATATGTTATTTTTTAATTTTCCTAAGGGTTTCATAATATCAGGGAAAATCCAGGATAAAACGTAAGAAAAATAAGAAAATTACGAAAATAATGCTTTTATTATTGTTAATTTTTATTATTTATTGTAATTCAGTTACAAATATTCGTAGAGACTTAAAATTTGAATAAAAACTTATATTTGCCTTTTCTAGACGTGGACAAATTTTCAAAAAATGTCGGCCATTTTTAAAGTATTTATAGACCTTTTTATTTTGTTAGTTTTGTATGTAATATTTATTTAGTAGGAACTCGGTGGTCAAATTGTTGAAATTCTTGAAAATTTAACAAGTGGTTAGGTAAAAGAAAAATTGAGCTTAATGTAGTATTATTTTTTTTTATAAAGGAATTTTAATATCGACTTTAGATGAAAATCGAGTAAAAAATTATGTGGATCAAATCTAATTTTTATGTTTTAGATTCTGAGTACAGCAAATTCATTAATTCGTTTTTTGCATAATTTTTTACGTCTTTGTAATAAGAATCTTTAGATTTAAAATCCGTTAAAAAATAATGTACCCCAGTTAGTAAATTGTTCTTTGATTATTTGTCCACTTAAAAAAGAATGACTTGTGTCGAGAATCAAAGGTAGATCCTGTCCAATCCCTAGTTTTGAGAATTCGAATATATTACTATTGCAATAAATATTATCATAATATATTTAACACGGGGTCGTGTATACGCAATTCAACTACAGATATGCGATCGTTCTTTGTTCTTGTTATTGTGTGAAACCCTAAAATAATATATTATTGGTAATACTATTAAAATCCCGTTGTTATTTTACAGTACTCCCGTTCGGAAAAACGAAACCATCTATCGATTTTCGAACAGTAACCATTTTTATATAATAATAATAATAATTCTAACTTGTAGGATTGCTATACATCTATTAAATATTCACGTGGTAGTAGGTATTAGTTAAAATTATTCAAAGTTTGAATATCGGAAACTGCTGGTACTGCAAAACCGTGCGTTGATCCGATTTCCGGTTTATGACACAAAAATGTAATCAACTATAGTTATAGGAAGCGCAGCGTTTAAAAACTTGACTAAGAACAAGTATAAAACAACAGCGATTTAGCACCCTTTCAATATTAATTATAGAAAGAGATGTAGTAAACAATGTTTCTTCCTCTGAAATCCAGAATATGTTTTCTTCCAGAAATCAAAAGATCGTGTTATAACTTATATTGTTAGTAGAATTCAGTTATACAGTATTTGTAAACAATTAACGCAGTTAACTAGGTTCATTTAAGCCGTTAAAGGAATGATATTAATTCATAAATGATATTTCCATGTACCGAAACATTAATGTGTGTGTTTATTGTGTATCTAAGTAGGAATAGTAATTTTTATTTTCGATGTTTGGAAATAAACACCTGTGTAAAATAAGATAAATATATCTGTTAAAATCAAAATTAAACATTTATATTATACTCAAAAATTGAACTGTTGTGAATCGTTTTATGGCCGTATATTTAATAAAGATAAATCTGTTGATGCGCAAATAATATTTTAAGTCAATCTTCATTTAATGTTAAACAAGAATTAATTTTGTATTGTTTCAAAATATACTATACATTTTTAAATATCGAAAACTAAATTCTATTAGAAGATTTTATAAATGTTTAAAATAAAATGTAATTCAAACATTGAATGAACATCGGATATTTTTATGTGAGCGATAATATGTAAATATGTTGGTCTGGCGATCACAAATATTATTCGATAATAGAATTATTTTTGTCACATTTCTTTTTGGATTCATCTTCATCTGTTGCAGCAACAATGATGGCGTTCTTTATCAGCGGCTTTTATACTTGTTCTTATTCTTATTTGAATAAAAAAAGTCACGTCCGAAAGTTGCTGATAATGAAGGACGTCATTAGATGTACAGCAGACAAAGACGAATCCGAAAAGAATTCTTCTGGTAAAAAAAGTAACAATCGGATAAGATTGTTGATCGCCAAAACAAAATATATAAGCATATTATCGACAATATTTATTATTGTACCTAAAAATAGTGTTGTAAATTATCCGAAACATCTGAAATCGAATAAATTTTCAACTACTGTTTAACTTTTGGTCTTTTCGTTTTCTGGAATTTTTTGAGTTCCCATTTTGTATACGCTCTTCGCAGTTTGTCCACTCTCGAATTTATTTGCCCGACTGAAAACAACAAACAAATAATTTATATATAAAATTCGATCATATCAGTACTTGTTTTAATATCTCTTTTTTAAAGTTAAGACATAATACCGGAATTCCGTTTCGGTTAATTTATGTATTGTCAATATTTTCATTCTCTATAGCGTGTATTATATTTTAACGGAATAAAACGGAATTACAATTAAAATTTCAGTATAATATAGTTGTATACATATATGAACTCATCTTATACATTAGATGTGATTTGAACAAACGGTTTTATTTATCTTGTCAAATGAACAAAAATGTAAAAAAAAAAATCTATATTGATAGAGTTATTATAGTGTTATCTGATTATAAAATGTGAACTTATAGTATGCGCACAGCACGGCAACGGAGCACTCGAAAAACACGTAAAAAATTGCAAAACTTTTTCGTCATTGTAATTACTTTATTAGAAGGGAAACAAAGCGGATCTGTCGCAACTCAACGAGATTATGATATGATTATAAGAATACGCGAATAGCATTTTTGGTGACAAAATATATGGTACCTAGCCGTTACAGTGCTTGTCACGCCAATCGCTCTGCCTAATTTTTTTGATGCGATTTATAAATGTTCGGTTGTATAGGAACTTGCCATTTAATAGTATGTGCATTATTTAAAATGACGGCCATTATTCGCTTTTTTTTCTCGATTGAAAAATTAATGATTTAATGAACTCGTTTGAAAACCATTCTTTACAACACTACTAGTAGCGTGTATAGGATTTTTCCAAGGAGGGGGGGTATTGAATTTGAAAATTTTGCTTTATTATATTATTAAATATCGGGTAATTCATTCAAGAAGGTACACTCATTATCTCGGAAAGTATTAACTTTTTTTGGAATGTGTTTTCTAGAACATTTAATTGTAGAGCCGGCTCTACAATTTTATATTTCTATTATTTTTTTGTAACCTTTATTTTTGGCTAAAACCACTTTTAATTATCAAATGGCAACTTATATAAAAAAATTCCATATATAGATAAGTATTAGTATTAGTTTAAATAATTTTAAGTATTGTGATTTGTTATTTTTGTCAAGCCGTTGACATATTCCATTTTTAATTTTAGGTTGGAGGAGAGTAGAGATGCATTAATAACACGTCGTGCGCTGTACCGCCACATAAATGACACTCCACTACTCTCTTTCAATCCAAACTTAAAAATGAAATATCTCGTCAACAGATCAACAGAAATCAAGAATGTAAACACTTAAATTGATTTTAACTAATACTCCATCTATTTTGGACTTTATATATATATATATAAAGGCAATCATTATTTATTAAATCTCGAAATTTCGAATATTATAATATTATTGATGATTGTTTTACTCCGAGGTGCTATACTTTACAAATAAACCCTTCGGCCCAAAGTATTATCGCGTTAATTATTTACGTTGTCGATATTTTACGGCCGACAAAAAAAAATACGGATAAACAGGGGGACCTCGAGGAATTACGTAGCGCTTAAAATGTCGAAATAACCATTATTTTAGATTCCAAGTAAAACGATGAGAAATCTACAGATACCTTACTGCAATGAGATACCTTTTTTTCTCTTTTATAATTTTGTTATATCGAAAAACACGTTTTGATCAGAAACATTCAACCGCTTACATTTTAGAAAAATAATTGAACTGTTGTTCGAATAGATGATAATATTTTGGAACTTTCAGTTTTATACCCGCCACGAAAGCCATAACGGGAACCCGGGAAAATATAATGAAACGAAATAAATTCCAGTAAAATTACAAATGCAAATAATGTTCTTCTTCTTTACTGTAATTTTTGTATAAAGTATTCGACATATTGTTGTTTACAATACTGCAGGTATCAAATATTACACCATTGTCTCGAAATTGCACGTACCTCCCGACCGAAAATTATTTAATTTTATATTGTGACGCATATATGATGTTTTCAAGATAGCTGAGTTCAAAAAAAAAAAACACTCATTGTATATTATAAATACAGTATAAATTCAAATTCGCAAACACAATACCTGCGTATTTTTCTAGAGTCTCAAATGTGTTTTTCAAGTACAGTTTGAATTTCGTGGAGTCCATTATGTGGTTGAGTACGAAATTGGTAATGTTGGTCAGCTCCTCGACTGCCTCTTTGGTCAGTGAACCGTATTTTGATTGTATCATATCTGTGTGTGATTTTAATTTGTCCTTGTGGACCGAAGCACGTGTCGACAAATTTTTTACACGATCATCCGTCCCTTTGCCGGCTTCGACGTGCAGTATGCTCTAAAACACAGAAATGACTTAGCTCCTATCCAGCGGTGCTGAACTTATATATTAGGTGTTGCGGCTGCCACACCTTATTTAAGGAGTGGGTATACCCATCTAGAATTGGTAGTTAAGTATAAAACATTGCACATTTTAGAATTAATATAAGGGGCAGTAGACATAATGTTACAAATAACGCGAAATAGTCTATTCCTAAACTGCCGTAGCGTGTATAAATCGCATTAGTAAAAGCAGATAACTTTTTAACTATAACTATGACTATAACTAAACAAAAACTATTAATTAAGATTAATAGTTTTGCAATAAAGAACCTGCAATAGTACCTAATAAATTTCTTAGTCTACAACAGCGGCTACAGCTAGTTCACGGTGTTGTACGCAGTCTATACAGAATGAAAACGTACACGATAGTGGGTATTGTCATTATTTAACTAATTTTGATTATATCCGAGGTTACCTAAATATTTTTGTATAAATTTAGAAGATCATAAAATATTTTGCTAATCAAAAGGAAAAAAAAATGAAATATATTTTAAATATAATAAAAATATGTATAATAATATATTAAAAAAGATGGGTATACTTCACAGTTCAAAAGATGGATGGGTCACTGTTATAGGTGAGAAGTTGGGAGGGTAGGACAAAGAGAGGATTTTAATGTAAAGAGTACCTACCGAATAAAAATTATGTAAAAAATTATAATGTTTACAATAATTAAAATTGGTTTTTAAAATTGTAATTACTTCTAGAAAAGGTATTGTATAAATTTCGGGTCCCTACGAATATTTTTAACTGAATTGCAACAACAAAACAAAATTTAAAATAGTAAAGGAATTATTTTTTTAATTTATCCGTTCTTTTTACGATTTTAGATTCTGAGTGGAGCGAAGAAGAATATGGTTTTACAAATATATTTATTTTTTTTCTGTAGACAACGTTTTTCCCGGTTACCTTGCTCCGATTTTTAGATTTAGCATATTTCCTGAAAATAATTCGGTGTGGGGAAGTTAAAGAATGTCATTTTTCGATTTTTTCGAGAATTTTTCTGGTCCAATGTGAAAAACCATAAAAAAACGGAAGGAAACGGGAACATGTACGAAATATATTAGTAAGACGTTATGACCTTCTTTTTTCCAGTGGACAACTTTTCTGCTAACAATTTTGCTCTAAAATATGATGATAGCAATTTTTCTAAAAGAAAATTTCACTGGAGAGACACTTTAGAAAGGTAATTTTTCGATTTTCTTTGGAGTTTTCTCAACAAATGTGAAAAATGATAAAAACGCGCACACATCAAAGTACATTCAAATAGAGAACAGTTTTTTTTTTCTTTTATAAATATCATTTTACATCGAAAATGTCTTATATTTTTACGTGCACTTTATTCCATGTTCGAATAATATGTAAATACTCACGTCGATGGCAAAGATCGCAATGGATATCATCAAAACCATCCGTATTCGTACCATTATGACGTTGTCGTGATGTATCGTTCGTCTGCTGTACACTTTAAACTCGGTGTAAAATATTTCATTTGTGCAGTCGGATTCGCGAGATTCTGCTATTACTGCATTCGGTATGTATTTTGTTTTTTTTTTTTTTTTTTTTAAAAGGACGAAGTAATATTAAATATTATTATAATAATACGTATGATAGGCTTACCGCCTTTGAATACGATAATTACGATATATTTTCACAATAATCGTTCGCATATGTTTGCATTTTTTTTTTTTTTTTTTTTTTTTTTTTTTTAAATAATATTATTACGTCGCATACGCGCGCTATCGGTAATTTTAGCATCCGTTTATTGTTGAACAGACAATATTATAATTATTGTTATTAACCGTGCGCTATATTATAGTAAAAAACATATTAATTTGTGTGGCGATATCGCCATTCTAAAAACTACTCTTCGTTATTTACACTCTCCGATAATATTACAATATAATTGCCCTGTTCGCGAAGTGAGCCATTTCAATTAGTATGTGGGTTACAGGGTAAGTTTAACAATGCAATTGTTCAACAATGAAGTTGGAATAAACCATTCGATACGCCCATTCCGGCAGGCGCATACCTGAGGTAGGTCGAACAAAAATGGTAAAAGGTCGATCAACCATTACCGTATACCATATAAGTATAATGTTCAAGTGGTTCAATTTTGATGCTTTTTATTATTAATATTTAAAAGAGGAAGACTATTTGTAGGTTGTGTTTTACAACAGATTTCTAAATGTAAATACCTATAAACAGTATTAGAGGTGTCTAAAACATTCCAGTTATTGTTATTTTTTATCCTTTTTTCTGTAATTACTTATAGATTAATTCGTTCTGTTCAAAGCGATCTGTGAAAAGTGTTGCTTTTTCAAATTAAAATCAAAAAAAGAGAGCTAATACTGGAGAAGTGTGTAACTACTGTTGTAGGTGGATAATTGTGAAGGTGAGATGCATAAAGTTATTTAATTTAGATATTTAACCAACCATTGCTGACAAAAAACGATTCGGAGTGAAGTTCGGTTATACATGTTTCAAAAGACCGTAATATTTCCGAATTTCATCATTTTAATTCTTATAAAAAACATAAAAAAAAGTTGACCAGTACATCTAATAATGAACCTCCTGTTAAATTGTAAATCGTTTCTATTGTTTCTAACAATTTTATCCGCAGAGTGCTAACCAAATAATAATTACCTAAAAAACTCACAAAATTAAAATATCTATAAATAGCTCAAAAATGGCTCAAATATTTTGAACATTTTACCACATCTAAAAAAAACAAAAATAAAATTTAAAATTTTTAAGTCTCTACGAATATTTTTAATTGAATGATATTAAAAAAAATTAAAATAATAAAAAATGATTTTCGTAAATTGTCCGTTTACTTTTTACTTTTCGGTTTTGCTCAATTTGATTCAATATTCATCAAAAAAGTTCTCTTAACATTTTTCGAATAAAGCAATATTTCTGGCAGAAAACAAAATTTGATAAATTAAAAATAATAAAATCGTTCACGCCGCAGCGTGCCGTAAATATTTGCCATCTTACCTGTACGTCACCGTTAAACCAATAAATCCCTAGCTACGCTTCAAATCTAAAACAACCTAGTCTTTAAATTAATTTAAATTCAAAATTTAGTTAAATAAAATAATGTAAGCACAAAAGTTATTTGATTATTTAATATATGCAATATGTGCAATATTATTACAATGTGTTTGTAGCCACAGTTTAATGTTTGTAAAAAAAAAAAAATCATATGGTGGGTAAACATAAATGGAAAAAATACTTGGGAGGCCAACGACCGTTTACAGATAAATAAATAGATTATTTTGTGTAAGCGGCAAAGGCGGGACAATTCTTTGAGATTAGTAATGCAAATGAAACGGTAGTTAAGTAGGTATATTTAGATATATTAATATAAACTACGGGTGAACAACGATACTGACAACGCCATCTACCGGAGCTATGATTAAAATTATATACAATCAATATTTTATTATTCAAATGGATTCTGTAGACTTTCCACTGCAATATCCATAAATATATTTTCGTGTTTTAAATTAAACATTTCTTTTAGGTTGTTTAGAAACCAATTGTTTCCCTTAAAAACGTTTATAATTTTACTTATGTGTCGATTAACAATATTAGCTTCTGTGTCCGTTCAGGTTGGTTAAAATTAGAATTTTAGAGTTCGGGTTCGTAAAAATATTAATTTAATAAATTAGTATTGAAGAAATTAAACCAATCGCCACTCGGTAAAGTGTTTTCGATCACAATCGAAGGGATTAAAATAATTAATTATAATTTGTACAATAAATCAAATTTTTTTTTGACATATTTATAATAATAAAACAATATCGATACTGCTTGACATTTTAATATTCTTCAAATACGATCGTTTTATTGTGTAAAAATCAAACGTTATAGCAAAAACAGTGAAGGGATGACTTTCTAACTTAATCGGCGAGCCATCTAAACATCAAGTATATCTCTGCAAGATTTGTTGATATAAAAGAGTAGTTAAGACGCGAAAGAATTAAGCTTGAACTCCCGTATAAGAGTATATTCGAAGGTCATCTCTTTTTTATCCCTTCCGATTGAATCACTCAATTTAGTGAGAGTGGTCTTGAGATGACCTAGAAGACCGTTTTCAAATTTTGATTGTGATCGGATTAGTTCCAAGCTAAGTCCCTTGGAAGGAATTGTATAGTGTCAAAAGGACTTGTGTGGGGTACCAAGTCAAATTATTTGGCATTGAAACCATTCTCTTATCACTAAATTCCGCCGAAATATACCTAATCCAAAAATCAGAAGTGGTGGAGGGTAATTTTAATATGAAGTACAACTAACGTATCTTTACACAAAAGTGAAAATCTCACAATACATATATAATCTATTATAATTATCTATTTACATGTGTCATAAGATAATAGACTTTTTTAAAGACATAAATCGATTCTCTACATTTAAATGTCTTAATATCAGTTATGTATTAGTGTTTAAATTATGTAACATTTGAGTAACTTAATTTGTTTATGTTTCACGCGTTGATATTTCTGATTTCATGTAATACATGTTTGGGTAATTTAACCTATTTAATTCTAAGTTTATTTTTTTTTTTTTTAAATTCAAAATTTGTTTTTATAATATTGTAATTCTTGTGACAATCATGCAAAAAATCTGTATATTTTTCAAGGTACACAGCAAGTTCTCCGGCAACCGAAAATGTACCGAACCGTACTGGCATTATTTTTATAAATGTATGTACCCATTTTTTTTTTTTTGTTGTTTACTACTAATAACACAGGCACATCTTCAGAACTTGACGTACAATAATTAAAATAATGGCGGCCTTACGCAGTTATGCTCTTATCATATCAAACATGATATTATGGAATACTATATATACATGATATACTGTATACAATATGTTCCACTGTTCTACGTTTACCATCATATACGAATTTTAAAATGGGCTAGTACAATATCAGTTTCAACAATTGTATTATGCTTTAATCAATTGTGTTCATATTTATCACGTGTTTTCAATAGTTACAATATATTTTTTGAAAAACAAAGACTTCTTAATTTTATGCATTTAATTTTTCACAATTTTACAAAATTATCTGTATTTGGAGATTAATACATTTTCAATATTAATAAATAATATATTAAACATAAATATAATATAGAACGACAATTTTTCAGATCTGCAGCTCCCACAACCGACAACATCCAATCGTCCCTTTCTTTTGGTACGTTTAAAAACTGTATATATTAAGTTATATACGAGTGTTTACAATATCAACATATTTTTAATTGATTTGTATATTAATAATATGGATATTTGATAACAGTGATAAATGTTTGTGAAGATAAGACGTAATATAATATGATAAGAGAAATAACGTGCCATCCGGCATTATGACACCCGTGTTTTTTGAAGTAACCGCGGTGCAATATTAAAAATACATGCGCGTCGCACCGCCAATAAATTAATAGGCTTCTTAAATTCATTGTTTTGAGCACTGGACTTGTCTAACAATTTCGGAAACGTAAATCCTGTCGAGGAGTAGACGTTGTCATAATGGGTCCGAACGACTCTTATATGTGTGTCTTCTCGTCTACTCGTTCTGGGTCGTGTTTAGTCTTCCCACCTGCGGTATTCTATAACCCCATAATACTTTTCAGTGGCACTGGTACGTTTCCCTATTTTTATCTTATGGTGAATGGTGAATTTAATGTTTAAAAGTTATATTATTAATATTTCAAGGCGTAGAATTCGCTTTGACGAGATCGGCTATAATAGTTTTGATAGGAACGGGCCTACCGCGCCTTCTACACCGGACGTCGGTAACCACCGGAGTCGTGACGGCACGTTCGTAGTTGCTCCTTTGTCAGCTGGTCGCGCTGTGTCGTGCGCCGCCGTCTTCGAACGAATTCGCGACTGACGCCGTAGTTACTACTTACTGGATCACGTTGTATGAGTGCCATTTTCTGTGTTTAGCGCGCACTACAGGGTTTGTACTGTTACAAATTTAAAAATTTAAAAGAGCCGTTTAACGGCGTGTCATAAATATTTGTCGGTTTTTTTATACGTTTGTTCCCAATTATTATACTTGGAAAATAAAAAAAAAATGTCATTAATCAATTAGAACTAAAATAGAGCAATAAAAAGTTATCTTGACAATTTTTATTGGATCAATGATTTCTGTTAAAAATAAATGTCACGTTGTGCTCATCATTTAAAACAAAGCAAAATATTATTATTATTGTAATTTATTGTAATTATATGAGACCATACTCCTGAGAAAATCATTTTCAACATACAGTATTATTAAGGAAGGAGTTTTTTTTGGGAAAGTATTGATCTTTAGTCATTTTTAATTCACCAGAATAATTACACAACACTTGCATTTGAACATGACACGCATGCATAAATTCTTAAAATAATTAAGGCGTGAAGAATTAGATAGTTACATTCTTGATATTATTAATTTTGCTTAAACAAAAAATAGATTCATTAAGTCTTAATTTATGGTCAAAAAAAAATTTGAACTAAATGTAGTATTTTTTTTATAAAGGAATTTTAATATCAAGTTTTGGCGAAAATTGTTTGAGTAAAAAATTATGTGGAACAAATCTAATTTTTCAATGTTTTTTTTTTTTTTTTTTTAATATATGTATCGTATATTGCCAATTTAGGAACGGTGGTGACTTAAGCGGACTGACTTAGTTTTGAAATTGTAGCTTTTTTAAGTTTTAATATTACGCGAATATTATATTTTATGTCAAATTACTAAATATTGTCAATTCTATAGTATGTTTGTCGTAGCCGAATGATTATACATACCTAGTTTGATCCTAAAGTTGGCGAGTTCAAACACCGTATTTCGAGAAATTCAATATAAAATAATATAAATAAAAAATAATGTAATTGAAAACTCCTGGAAAAATAAAAAATTACCTATTTAAAGGATTTTTCAGTAAGATTTTTTTTTTTTAAGACAAGATGCTAGTACTATAAATTGGAGCAAAAGTGTTGGTAGAAAAGTTGTCAACACAAAAAAAATCGTAATATTTTACTAATATTTTTCGTACATTTTCCCGTAATTCATCCTTTTATTTCCGATTTTTCACATTCAATGTAAAAACTCCTGGAAAAATCGAAAAATCTCATCTCCTTAAATTACCTCACCACACCGATTTCCTTTCAGAAAAGTAGCTACACTTGAAAATCGAAGAAAAATTTTTAGTAAAAAAGTTGCGCACAGGTAAAAAAAAAAAAATAAATATATTTGTAAAACTATAAGCTTCTTCACTCCACTCAGAATCTAAAAATAAAATGTATTTGCGGTTTTTTTAAATTTATGATTATGACTTATACAAGAACATTTAACGAGTGTTTATAGTGATTGAAATATCATTTTCATATCATTTATAACTTCTTCTTTAAATACTTTGTAGTTGTTAACGAATTCGTCAATTGCTTCACGCATATTTAGTCTGCTAATATTAAAATAACTTCATATTTAACACGTAATCGAATTGTTGAAAAGTAATATTAGAGGATTATGTCTATTCAAAATATGCCGGGCCCTCTGTTTCGGGATACGAATAAAGTTTCAATTTGTGTTTGAATTTATTTAGAATTATATTTTCAATACAAATCTAAATAATCTTAGATTACTACTAACACTAATTTTGTTTATATTTTTTGCGTAACTCTCTTTGGAAATAATTAGGAGCATAAATACTCAATGCATGCAATATCAAAGCAGACATTTCCGACAAGTATCAGACACATGGAAGCAGTGGAGAATACCGAAGAGCAACAGCAGCTGCGATTTCGATTTTCTTTCAATTTACAACGACTTATCTTGTATAGAATGTTTCTAATAGCACATTGGATTTATTTGGAGAACTGAAGATACATTTTCATTAAAATAGAGAAACCCGACAAAAACTGGGGAAAAACAGGAATATTTATGTAAGAGTAGGTTTTTACAACACGTAATTTTGATTATTTTTGTTAAAACTCGTACTAAACTATAAATAGTCCTAAAATTTCGATATTCATCAAAATTACGAACATTTAAAAACTTAGATTAATTTGAATAAGATATCATTTACATCTTGTTTTTGAAAAATAAAAAAAAAACTGCAATTTAGTGTAATGGCAAACATATTTTTTTTAATTTGAATTTGAAGACGACATGATTGTTAAAATCCGTTAAAAACACAAACAATTAAAAATGATTTCATTGTTGAAAATCAATAAAATTCACAATTGAAATTTAGAAAAGAATGTTATTACTAAATTATTTGTGTTCACACTGCACATACTTGTGCGTAAATGCATTTATTTTATTAGTTTATTATTTATTCTTGTTTTTGGATCCTTTAAATAAAGAGAAAAAACCGCCAGATTTAGGCTTTTTCGCAGATGCAGCATCTGGCGCAACTGAACCATTTTGATCTAATTGTGATGGTTGTTGTACATTGGTGCCCTGGTTGACCTGCGAACAATGTAACAGGTCTCGCGATAATTTTTTTTAATATACCAAATCGTATATTATATTTTCAAACACAATCAGAGTGATAGTATTTTAAGACAATCAATGCGCGTTTAACCTCTTCAAGCACGAGATTTTTTCTTAAAAATTGAATATTATGAATTGAGAATCAAATTGCTCAATATCTATTGATATTGGAGAAAATAAAATTTTTTCTTTTTATTTTGACTTACTTAAAATAAGATTTTAGTATGTGGTACCATATGATACCATCGTGAAATATTAAAAAAAAAAAAAAAAAAAGTATTACAATTCAGTGGAATCTCACGATTTCACTGCACATGAAGAAGTTAAACGATAATAGTATTATTTGGCCATGAACATGACACGAATCGCTAACTGTGAAATAGGACAAGTCCACGGGTTTTAATTTTTCAAGTGACACAAAAACAAAATACTAAATGCAACTACAAATAAACTATTTTAAACAAATTAACATTCATTTGGAATAATCTATGTATTATAAATGTTAATTTAATTAGAACACAAAAAGGTACAATAGTTTTTTGTAAATTAATTTTTAATGACAATGGCATGTCCTTTCTGCTTACACATTGTAAACAATTCAAATAGATGCTATGGACATGTCCCATTTTATTGTTAATTCGCTATTTTTAAATGTTTGTAGTTGGATATTTTTTATTTCTACAGCAAACCGATAAATAGTATACTTACGCATTCTCAGTACAACATTTTAAGGCCAAGAGATTGGCCCGTCCTAGAACCAATAAAAAGAATTTGAAGATTTTCCTCATCGTGATTTTCTAATCATGACAACTTTCGTAAAAAAAAAAAAAAAACTATAAAATACCATAAAAAATGTGTAGTTGGGATCGTTTCCTGTTCCAATAAACATAAATCATTCAACAAACATAAATAAAAGCCAAAACACCTTTTATACCTAATATATTTAACTATAAAGACATATTCGCAAATAGTTTATTCGGGTAAATAATTAAAAATTAAAAATAGCATTTTTATTTAGGTACTTATTGTTTTGTATTGTTAGTATTTGCATCGGTACTTACGCTTTTAAGAATATACAAAAATTCATCTTCAAACCGCTCTATAATTTAAAAACCCCTGCAAATGGAATATAACCAATAAATTAGAAAAATATTTAGTTACACAAACATTTAAAACATAAGGTAAGAATAATGTCTTAATTTATTTACTTATTATCTCTGTAAACGTTGGTAACTAATGAAAAAATTGTCATATTGTACATAAATACAAAATTAAGGACCTAAATTTCATAAAACGAATACATGTTAGATAATTTTGGTGTTAATTTAATATTAGATTTTTAAATACAATAATATAAATTCTGAACTTCTATATTTATTTAAAATTGATTTTAACTCATTGATCAACTCCACGACATTGGAATTTATAGGATAATTCCTATTAAAGTGTCCCAAAATTGTGAATTGATAATTCGACCGTTGCCTCTACCAGTTGTAACGGCCCCCGCGCTCTGTGCTTAACGCTCTATGTTTATATTTACGAGGCTTCGAGAACTCGACTTTGGTGAGTGATATTTATGTAACTGACCAAGGTATCCTTTGTGGTGTTAACACAAAACAAGAAACTATTTAAATAATTTGTATGATCTTATATTACCAATAAGTTGTGCACCTTGAGAGTGTCCAGTCGAAGGGTAAGTGAAGTTCGTGATGATGGCCTGTGGTATCCTCCCGATGGCCGTTCTTCCCTGGGATCCTGTTATTTATGGGTACACTCTACTGTGCAACTCGTAGCACTCTCTACCGTGTTCCTATTGACGGCCCCCGTGCGCGCGCCTGAAACCCATAGCCAGCATTTCGCCGTCCGTTCCCTCTCGCCCATGACTGTACACCTAATACTAGTCTCACAACACCAGTGGGATAATGTAGTATTTATGAAAATTTAATTTTTTTTTTATATATTACAGACCGCTCAATGGAAAATATATTCACTTAATATCAAAAGCGTAAAGGGATATATGAGAATCAAAAATAACAAAAAATAAATAAAATTATACCTCCATATGATGATAATATCCATTTATGATTATGAGCATGCCAATTATGTAATTTCCAGTGCCCGATAAAAATATAATAATTGTAAATTTTATAATAAAACTAAGTACAATATAACTTTAAAAACATAAAATATTTTCCAAACTCAATACCTACTTACTTATCGTTTCTATTCGGTTTGGTTTTATTTTGTTTTAATTTATATCAAAATAACCGTAGACGGCTGAATCATTTACTTAATACTTAAATTACACACTTTCTAGACGTGGTGCTGCTCAGAATTCCTAACGAAGATACATTTTAACGTACCATAAAACGGTGTAAATAGATAAGCGAAATAACCACTCAAATTCGAAAAGGAATATTCTGTGTATTTAGCTTCTCATATCTCAATATATTATACTCTCATGTCAAAACAAACTTGTACGTAAATACTATCGAAAGAATAATCGAATTGAATTTCTGGTGCCAATTACAATTCATTTTTCTTACTACCTGAGATTCTGAAAATTACATATCTTTGTTTTGGTGTAAATTACAAGCGAAGTTAAAAAATATTGGTGCAAGTTGCAAACATCGTATATAGTTAGGGTAAATTTTAGTGCAAATTGACTACACCCACATTAACACCAAAATCTGGGAACGCTGCAAGTAATACGTTTGCAATCGTGTTACGGGAAAAGGTCTGTTCGAAATCGTATCGTTCGCAATCGTGTAACACCGATTCTACTTTTCCTACTTTAATCTCTACAACACTAGCAAACTAATCAGCAACAAATATAATAAACAGACGACCATGAAAATAACTAACCCAAGAGGTCCAACTAATGAGAATTATCTATTATATGGAAAAACTATCATGAATAGCCAATTTGTTACTGAAAACCAAAAACCAAAAATTATACAATATAATCTATACCTATCGACTTCCACCAGCCTAAGAATGCTGCTCACGTAAACAGAGCCTAATACATAAATAACGTTAATACATTGGCAATACACTTGCAATAATGCATCATTCACAATAAAATTATCTCCATGCCAGGTTATGTCTTTGTGTTAAAAATAATAATTTTTGTATTATGTCAATGGTATTTATAGATGCTGTCAACATGGCAATTACTTTATTTTTATTTTTAGTCATAGTTCCCAAGATATTTCAACTTGTTTTTATTCCGGACACTGGAAATAATCGTTGAATATTTACCGTGTTTAATTTATAATCGTAATGAATTCAAAAAAATGTATAAATTTATATTTAATCAGAAAAAATTACACAATTTATTGCAGTGTATCTCAAATATTTGCCTCTCATCCTCCACAAAAAACGCTCACCCTCCCTCCCAACTAAAAAGGAACGTCAATACTACAGTAAGTAAACAGAAAGATTCGGTTATATTAATTGTTTTATTTTCATATCCGTATAAATTATATAAATAATTATTATAATAACTATGAAAAATTAAAAATGACATAATATAGAAATTATTTTAATGAAAAGGATGAATCTGATGAGCTGCTACCAATTTTATTAATAGTTGGATCTATTTCCGTAAGGAGCATTCTTATATAGGCAGGAGGAAGTCAGCAGATACAGGTATAGATTCTATTGTATATTTTTTGGTTTCCTTACGCTGATTGGACTGTAGGTCTGAAATGACTCAACTCGAATGGTGTTCTAAAATATTTTGATCTGGTTGAACACTCGGGCTATTTACTTATTTGTCCATCTGTAATAAAAATTTTAAAAAAATGTCAAAAATAGGAATATTCTTAAATGGTATATTATCCTTATAATGCAAAATGTTTAGATTTTTCTATGGTAATATAAAATGATGTTTGATTATTTTTAGATAGCGCTTAGGTAAAATATCCACAGATTAATAAAAAACTAGATAAATTGTATAAATATACATGATCAAGAGTTATTTCACAAAAACTAAGGACATAATATGTTTGGAAAAACATAAAATTATAGTTTATAACGATGGAGTTAGAAATTAAAAATCCTACCAAAAAAATGGTTGTGTCATGGTATAAGTTTTTGAGAGGATACTCCGCGTTAATCCGAAAACAAATTCCTTAAACGTATTAATTCCGGAAAGCATTTATTCGGAATCTAAAATCATTTTTTTCGTTGAGAGTTTAATGTATTTTTTTTTTTTTGCCTTTTTAGTTCTCCTATACATCTTGGTTTTGTCAATCAATATGATCTATGAATATAGGAACTTACTCTAGGCGGAGATTCTAGTTTATTATTTTCATCATTTGATCCCCAATCGTAAACTGGTGGGCTTGTACCATCACCCTATAACATAAAAATACAAAAAGAAAATAAAATTACTTAAATATACAGAACCTATATCACTGATGAGTTCCGAATTAACTTGTTTAACATTAGAATCGTTTACACGAAAAGAGTAATGAAATGTAATAAACCGAAAGAATTATAAGAACGAACAAACATACGTATGACACGGTTATAATATATTATTATTTTTATATTGAGGTCTCCTATACAGCCGATTTTCGTAGGTACATAGCAAATAGTTCGTTGAATCTAGGAACTTACGGTAAATGATGCTATATCTTCATCACTTTTCGGAACACCACTGTAAGTCACTGAGTAGCCCCTCTATAAAAATAAAAACAGCAAAAATAAGGTTTTGGTATTACTAAAAATACTACTGAAAAAAAATAATTGTTTCATTTTAAATATTTTGGATGAGGTGCATCGTACAATTCCGAAAAATAAATTTCCGAGAAGTATTTATTAGGAATCTAAAATCATTTTTTTCTTTGGGAGTTAAATATAATTTTTTTTTTTATTTGCTTTTTTGGTTCTTCTATACATCTTGGTTTTGTCAATCAATATGATCTATGAATAAAGGAACTTACTCTAGGCGGAGATTCTAGTTTACTATTTTCATCTTTTGATCCCCAATCGTAAACTGGTGGGCTTGTACCGTCACCCTATAACATAAAAATACAAAAAAAAAAAAATAAAATTACTTAAATATACAGAACCTTTATCACTGATAAGTTTCGAATTAACTTGTTTAATATAAAAATCGTTTACACGATAAGAGTAATAAAAAGTAATAAACCGAATGAATCATACGAACGAACAAACACACGGTTATAATATAGAATTATTGTCATTTTTTGAGTCTCCTATACAGCCGAATTTCGTAGGTACATAGCAAATAATTCGTTGAATATAGAAACTTACGGTAAATGATGCTATATCTTCATCACTTTTCGGAACACCACTGTAAGTCACTGAGTAGCCCCTCTATAAAAATAAAAAAAAGAAAAAAAACAATTTTAAGAAGTAGTTAGTCCTTATTGCATACTACATAGGTATACCTATGCAATATATGCCTATAAGAATACTTAAATTGATATTATTTCATGAATATAGTTCATCGGTAAATGTTTTTAAAATTATATTTTTTTTGAAAATCAATCGAATACAAAAAAGAAATAGCTTCGTTAAAACTCCAGTAGCTATTCTAGATGGAATTCTAAGTAGGTGCTCAATTTATTACAGATTAAAATTCGTATTTTATCTAATCTTATTAAAAAATGTGACATAAGAATACAATTTATAAAAAAAGATGGACATACATCTTGGTTTTGTCAATCAGTATGATCTATGAATATAGGAACTTACTCTAGGCGGAGATTCTAGTTTACTATTTTCATCATTTGATCCCCAATCGTAAACTGGTGGGCTTGTACCGTCACCCTATAACATAAAAATATTGAAAATAAAATAAAATTACTTAAATATACAGAACCTTTATCACTGATAAGTTTCGAATTAACTTGTTTAATATAAAAATCGTTTACACGATAAGAGTAATAAAAAGTAATAAACCGAATGAATTATAAGAACGAACAAACATACGTATGACATGGTAATAATATACAATTATTGTCATTTTTTGAGTTTCCTATACAGCCGATTTTCATAGGTACATAGCAAATAATTCGTTGAATATAGGAACTTACGGTAAATGATGCTATATCTTCATCACTTTTCGGAACACCACTGTAAGTCACTGAGTAGCCCCTCTATAAAAATAAAACAAAGAAAAAAAANTAGTTTACTATTTTCATCATTTGATCCCCAATCGTAAACTGGTGGGCTTGTACCGTCACCCTATAACATAAAAATACAAAAAAAAAAATAAAATAATTTAAATATACAGAACCGTATAGCGATAGCTCGTTGAATACAGGAACTTACGGTAAATGATTCTATATCTTCATCACTTTTCGGAACACCACTGTAAGTCACTGAGTAGCCCCTCTATAAAAATAAAACAAAGAAAAAAAACAATTTTACGAAGTAGTTAGTAGTATACTCATTGCATACTACATAGGTCATTTTGTCAAAATTTAATATAAAAATAAATTTATAAAAAAATTACTAAGATCAATTTTTTTTTTTTGATTTGACACAATATAAGTGTTCAGTTGTACTAGAAATACTACTGAAAAAAAATAGTTTTTGCACTCTAAAAGATTTAGATGAGATGCACCGTATTATTCCGATAAATTTAATGCCCGGAATGTAGTAATTCTGAAGAGTATTTATCCGGAATCTAAAACCAATATTGTTTCGCCTATATATCCTGCTTTTGTAAATAGGTATGCTCTAAGATTTCAAGTACTTACTCTAGGTAGGGATTTTGGTATACTTTTTTCATCTTCTGATGGCAAATTGTAATTCTGTGGATTTGCGTCATTATTCTGTAATATGAAATACAAACAAAAAATTTAAAACGTATTTAATTTTTAAAACCTATAGAAATAAAACCTCTCCATACAGATGGACAGTTCTTGTTTAATTACTTAATCACTGAGAATTTTCAAATTAACGTGTTAACACGAAAAGAGCAATGCAATTTAATGAATCGAAAAATCGAATGAAAAATAAACCGGAGTAACCCCAACCGCTTCTATCCATTGTTTGTTTTTTTCCAAAATGGTTCATTTTATTCAAGAAGGCCAATTCCAAAACAGCTCTCGTCGATAAAGCTTTCACGGGTATGTATAGAACTTATCCCTAGAAATGCCACCAACTACTTGTAGATCCACAATATTACAAATAGGGTTCTTGTCATTTTTTGATTCGAGCAATATTTCTAGACCAATAGTAAAGTAGTTCACATACACACACACTCATACACAACATAAATATATTATTGTCAATTTGATATAGATTACGTAAAAGTGAAAATAAGAATGAATTAGTTGTAAAATTATAATTTTATAATACCGGAACTTCAAAGAATATTTTATTCTAAACAAAAAATTGAAAAAATTAAAAAATTGCATGGGTCAGGAACAAGATTTGTTCTATATAATTTTTTACTCAAACAATTTTCGTCAAAATGTGATATAAAAACACTGTTATCAATAAAAGTACTACATTAGGATCATTTTTTTTTTTTTTAATGTATAGTGAATCTTCAAATTCAAATGAATTTTAAAAATTTTATCAACTGAATACTTATCGAATAAAAATTACGTACAAAACTCGCAAAATTAAAATATCTATAAATAGGTCAAAAATGGCTAAAATTTTTTAAAAATGTCCAATGTTTAAAGAAAAAGGAAATACAAGTTTTCAGCAGTACTTAAAATACCACTGAAAAAATATTTGTTTCATTTTAAAAGTTTTGGAAACGATGTACCGTGTTCTTCCGATAAAATGAATGACCAGAATGTAGTAATTCCGGAAAGTCTTTTTCTGGAATCTAAAATCACTATTTTTTGTTTAAATTTTAAATTTGTTGTTATTTTTGGTTTTACTATTCATCCTGTTTTTGTAAACACGTAGATTCTAATTACTCTATGAATACAGAAACTTACCCTAGGTAGGGATTTTGGTATACTTTTTTCATCTTCTGATGGCATTGTGTCATACTCCAATGATATAAAATGCAAAAAAAAAAAATTAAAATTTCCCTAAATATTGAGAAATTGTATATATTTATTTTCTTGAAGATTGATAGTACCTATTTATCGCCTTATCACTGAGAATTTCTAAACTTACGTGTTTAGTAATAGAATTAATTGCACGAAAAGAGCAATGAACTGTGAAAGAGAATTTTGTCCAGATATTATGAGTATATAGAGTTATATTAAATAACTCTATATTGGCCTTCTTAAAGCATATTGTTGCTATATAATGGTTATTTATGCCTAATCGCGAGTTCGAACCCGTGTTTCGAAAATATTTTTTTGCATTTTTTTTCCCTTTTATCTAAACAAGGAAAATCAAATACATTTTGTAGGTACCTAGAGACTCAAGCTATCGTTCTCTCGAACTATTTTAATCGCAAAATACCGCTCGATTTGTTGTGCAAACTTTTTTACAAGAAATCTTGCTCTGATATATCAAGTGTAACATATTTTCTGAAATAAAATTTTATCTCCATGGTAATTTAGAGAAATCGTTTTTTGATTTTTCAAGCGATTTTCACAATATCGAAAACCGTCGGAAAAACGGAAAATGTACGAAATGTAGGTATTAATAAAAAAATATTATGGCCTTTTTTTTCTGTGTACAACTTTTCTACCAGCGATGTCACTCCGATTTAAAAAATGATAGCACTTTTTCTGAAAGAAAGTTTGACTGGGAAGATACTTTAGGGTAATTCGAAAAAACATGGAAAAATCGATAAAATATTAAACATATTTTAAATAAACATATTTTATTGAATACAAAGAAAAACACAGTACACTCATATTATTTCATGTGGGTAGTGATGGAATTTTCCTATTAAACAAGTCCATATTTTTAATTGATCTATCAAAATTTAAGATAAAGAAAACGTTAAATTTGACATTTTTTGTCACCAACTAAATCCACAGTGATACAAAAAAGGTCTTTTGTCATTTTTTGATTCAAGTGTGATTTTTTAGAAGAATTTTTGTTTTCACACTCAGACACACACGTACAATATATATGTTTTATTGTCTAAAAATTTGAAAGTTAAAATGAAAATTAGAATCGTTATTTTGTAAAATTATAATTTTATAATATCGGAACTTCAAAAGAATATTATATTCGAAACAAAAAATTAAAAAAATTGCATGGACCAAAACTAAGATTTGTTCCATATCATTATTTACTCGAACGATTTTCGTCAAGATTTGATATAAAAATTCTGTTATAAATTAAAGTACTAAATAAGAATACATTTTTTTTTTTTTTCATTTTAAAAGTTTTGTATGTGGTATACCGTACCTATTTCGAAATATAAATGCCCGGAATAAATTTATTCCTGAAAGAAATTTATCTGGAATCTAAAATCATAATATTTTGTTGAAATTTTAACTTTGTTTTTATTTTTGGTTTTACTATTCATCCTGTTTTTGTAAATACGTATATTCTCTATTTACTCTATGAATACAGACACTTACTGTAGGTAGAGATTTTGGTATACTTTTTTCATCTTCTGATGACAAATTGTAAATCTGTGGATTTGTGTCGTCATTCTATAATATAAAATAAAAAAATAAAAAATTTTTTAAATATTTAGAATCTTTATTGTAAGGTGGATAGTTATTACATTATAATCACCTTATCACATAGAATTTTCAAAGTAACGTTTTCAATAATAGAATCGATTACACGAAAACAGCAGTGAACTATAATGAACCGAAATAATCGTACGAAAACTAAACCGGTGTAACACAAACGGCTCCCATATATTTTTTGTTTTTATCTAAAAGGAATCTCGTTTTATAAAAAGTTCAATTCACAAAAGGCTCCCGTCGAAAAAGGTTTCACGAGTAGGTACATTTTTTAAAGTTTTTGACATACTGACCAAAATAGAATCGTATTGCGTAAACGACCGAAAAAAAGCGGTATCTCGTGACGGCGAAATTAAAACGGGCGCTTTGCGAGCGTTAACCGAAGAAAACATGCGGATGCTCGTCAATGACGTCATATCTTACCATTTTATTAATTATTTTCTCGAAAGATGTTAAAATATAAAATGTTGGTGATAATTTCTATAGGTACCTATGAAATATATAAAACGAGCGCCGTTTAAATTTTACAATTAGGTAGATAATCGAAAATAAACATGTAATGACTATCGATGAGTATCTACGCTCAGATGAACTGGACAACTATTACACTATAATAGAGCATACATAATTTATACATATTATATTTATAGCTATAAACATACAGTTGAAATTTAATTTCTGACAACCTATAAATATTACTAATTCATGCATTTTAGATAAAACAAATTGAATGTTCATCAAATATATTATTAATATTTGAATACCAATATCAATAGTTTGATGTTATGAAAATAAAAATTATTAAATATGCCACACATGTCTTATCATGGACACTGCACAAATATCTATTATCATATATTCAAAGCAAGATGTTCCAAATATACCTGAAGGATATTCATATTTTAATATTAGTTTTTAATTATTTCAACGTTTTTATATGAATATGGAATTTTGAATATCAACAGTTTTATATGATTTAGATATATAATATATATCAATGTCTACAAATTGCTATACGGGCGAGCGCAATCAGGTAAAACGTAGTTTGAAGTGCCGTAATTTTTTTTTGCAATTTTCGTTTAAATTTGATTTCAAAACGCTTATTAAAAAAAAACAAAGTCGTCCGATGGTTTTGGAAATTTTACCACGTCTAGGTAAGTCCAATATAAGTATTACTACTACGTTTAAAGTTTATATTGTGTATTTATAACTGAATTACAGCAAAAAAACTGCTAAAAATTAAAATTCCTTAAAAGCTCAAAAGCGGCTCAAAAATGTTGGTAATGGTACCGTAGGAAAGTAAATCAAAAAGGCAACTAATGTAATTGTAAATGTAAATGTAATTAATGAAATGAAAGAAATTGAAATAGAAAAACAAAAAAGGTTAAAAAAAAAAATGGCGTAGAAAATCGAAAAATCACCTCTCTAAAGTACAATCTAGACGACTTGAGTTTTCAGAAAAGTTGTTACACGTAAAAATCGAAGCAAGTTTATTAGGAAAATACGTGTCCACAGACTAGAACAAAGAAGGAGAAAAAAAATAAACGGCATTGTAAAACCAATAGCTCCCTCGCTACGCTCGGAATCTAAATGCATTAATTAGTTAAAAATATTCTCATAGAAATGATGCCGCACTAGATAATAGGAGGAAGATTTTTGAAAGAATTGTCAATTAACACTGGCACACACGTATAAAACTTGAATTAATTGCCGTTAACAACTAGTCTAAGACAAATGGACGCGGGGAACATCTGAAACGCGTCTTTTGGATACAATAATAATAATAATAACAACAATAACAATAATGTAATTAATGAAATGAAAGAAATTGAAATAGAAAAACTCGTTATAATTAATTTTAAGTTCGTATGCATTAAAAAAGCCTATTGATCATAGATAATAATGGATTAAAATATTTCATAATAACCGTTTGTATGATTATTAAATACCAAACGTTTAATATCGTAACAACTGCGTTTTATATCGATACGATGACAATAAAATGTTGGTTTAATCTTGCCGGGTAGACATTATTCTGACGGTACTCGAATCGAAAACCGCAATTACTATTTCAGTAGGATACTCCATACAATAAAATTGTAGTCAACTGACATCAGTGAACTAACGTATAAATACGTACATTCCGTAATTTCGTAGTACGGTATTATTTAATGTTTCAACGAGTTTTTTATGATCAATTGGCTTTTTTCATGTATGTGGATTTAAAATTAATTGCCATCAGACTTCATTTGGATTTGTTTAATAGTATTGTTATTATTATTTCCGCGTCCGAACGGCGACGTCCTGATGTTCCTCGTATCCACGATATGGGCCGAATGGCCCCGTCGATTAATTGTCCTAGACCCCTCAACAACATATCGTTTTAATAATAAAGAAAAAATAAATATCAATGTAGTCATATTCTTAATCGAAACCGCGATAGTTTTTTTGGTTAATTTTATCAAATTTTATTACAATATTGTATTTATAATATATGCTCTTATATCATTATCTCTTTTATGAAATTAGAATCCATTTTTATAAAACGGTGTTAATGTTATCATTTATCACCCACGTCGATAGATATTTAGTTTTTTTTTAAGATTCACGAGTTCTTTAATTTAAATGCAACGCATGTGTTTTACATTTATTTAACAAAATATGTTTTCTTATTTATTGTTCGATTACGCTTACCTTTTCTTCTCCTGTAGGGACCTGTGTAGGAATATGTACGCGTTGGTGAATGAGTTGATTTGCATATTCATTTAACCATTGCGCATAAATATGTAATAACAACATCAATGAGACGTAAAATTATAACATGTAAAATTTGCAAATTAGGTCGAATATACGTCTAAATTATAGATGATTAGATAAATCTAATAAAAAAAAAAATAGTAATAGTTATAACAATAAATTAAGACTATTTTGATTTTTTCACGATTTGACCGAATAAAATATTTGCAAATATGTTTCATATTATTGTACAAATACTTATATATTAGGTATTCGTGGCGTTCTGGTACTTTTTATTTTTATCGGATAATGTTTCATATTGATAAGTGTGAGGAAAATTAGTACCTTTAAAGTATTTTAAGTAGCTGTCTAAAATATAATATTATTAGAATTTATTTATTTATTATTTTTTTTTTTTACGAAAGTCTTCGTGGTCGGAATCTCGGGAGAAATCCAGAAATCGATTGTCTATTGGTTCTACGACGGACCTATTCCTTGACGGATTCATCTCCAAAAAACACGCTGTAAACTGTGTTAATAAAATATCGATAAACTTGCAAAAAACAAATATTTGTTTTGTTTGTTTTTTTTGATGATTAAATAATAAATATATAAGTCATTAGCTAGTTGTTAGAAAAATAATAAAAAAGTTGAAGCCATAACTGCTTACAGCAACAACAACGTCGAAAAAAAAATCAAATACGTCCAAACCTTACACTGCTCCAAGAAAGTTAGTAGCCTATGTAAAAATGTTTGATCTTTAGTCGCTGAAAATCCGTTTTAGTTGGAAATGAATAAGAAGAAAAATTAAACTTTGGATAGATCATATTTTCAAGTTGAAAAGTCACACAACGAACGTACATTACCCCAGTCCCACCTATTTAGAATTTTTAAAAATTATCTACGCAGATAAATGCACATTTAGAATCTGTTTTGTATGAATATGTATGACAATTTTCAAAATTTGTACTTAAGTTTTCACATTATTGCCAAAAAACAGTAGATAGAGTCAGAGTAAAAAAGGCCGTTTGTTCAAGCACGTCTGTGAAGTTGATCCCCTTACTTTGTCATAGAAACTCCAAAACTTTGCCAATATTAAGCAACCTTTTTGCAACATTTAGAAACCAAAGTCAAACTATTTGCAATCTAGGCCTTCGTCGCTAAAATTAAAACTTTAAAAGCAGGAGGTTAACTTTACGTAGCCCTCCGAATATGGTCTATAGACTATTGGTTTGGGCAATACAAAGCAACCAATTTAAAACAATTTATGATGTATTTCTAAGTATGCTATAGTATTTAATATATATATGCATCTGTGTCTATGGATATATCGTACGAGTAACGATTATACACATTTAAAAAGTAGGTGTATAAGTTTCTTACGAACAAAGTGCTTAATAATTATTGCTTTTGAAAAGTAATGAAAACAATGATATTTCCATTGAGGGGGCTGGGGAACATATTTTTTAAGATACCGCAATTGTCGCTGAACAAGGATAGTAGGTACACATTTTAAAAACGGCCGTATAAATACATACAAATAAAGTACGGAAATATGGTGCAGTCAAACCAATGAATAACATCTATCATTTTTAACCGTGAGTGGGACTAGAATGATATTACTCCGAGTCCGCCAGATGTCTTTAAGCAATAACGTGAAAACCATGTTCGTACACATTTTTGAAAGAAACATTCATTAAAAATACATACTTAATACTTCGTTAAGAAAAATATTCTTGCAAATTCTAAATTGGTCGGGCTTGGGTAAAGTATGTTGAGGTAATTGAGGTGGATCGATATGGGAACAATTATTAATGTTAGGTATCCTCAGTTATTTTTTTTCTTATGTCAAAAGCAAGGGGGGTAGAACTAATCCATTTCGATATTTTGAGAAAGTAACAGTAAAATATGGTTCATGGCATCTTATCAATTTTCTAACAACTGGCAATGTCTGGGGGATTATTTCATTATAAACGAGGTATATTATAAAAATAAAATGAATAATATTATAGTTTATTCTATGTTATTTTTTTGGTTTTCTTACGTCAGTATTTTCTTTGAGTATTGATTTTGGTACCGGATTGTTTACCAAGTCCGCCGCCTGAAATTTATAAATGATTATAATTAATTTTTTTTTTTATATATATAAATATATTATATCTATGTATAAATCCAATAAGTATATCAGGAGCGTCGTTTAAATTTCTTACTGATAGGTGCAAACATTTTACGAGTCCAATTCCTCTAACAACCCACCTCCCCCGGCAGACACCACATCAGTAATTGTTTATCTTGTTAGACATATATATATCTATATATATACAAAGTGATTCTTTTATCGTAATTCGATTAAGATTTTACAAAATCATTATTTTTTGAAGTGAAACGACTACCAACTTTTATTTGTTTTCTGATTTTTTCTTAAATTGTTTAAATATTTTAGATTCTGAGTTTAACGAAGAATTTATTGGTTTTACAAAGATGTTTATTTTTTTTTTATGTGACCACTTTTTCTACTAGAAAGCGTACTCCGATGTATACGACGTAGGCCCTTTTCTGAAATGAAAATGTTGGGGTGATACTTTAGGTAGATCATTTTTTGATATTCCCAAAAGTTTTCAGTAAATTTAAAAAACCGAGAAAATTGGTAAAAACAAGGAAATGCATACAATATTAAAAAAATATTATTAAAGAAAATATATAATGACTATTTAATTATTTTACCATAATATGCCATATATATTATAGACAAAGCATAACTATCAGCTAAACTCCACTCAGAATCGTTTTTTTGTTAGTAATGTTTAATCGTTGCGTAGAGATTTACATTAAATGTCCGTCTATCCTGCCTTCTCAACTTCCCACCCACAATAGTAGCTGCACCGTCCCCATTATCCTAGTTTTTTTAATATAGCTAGATTGCTATTTAAAACCAAAAATAGGAAATCTTTTCCAACCCAAGAATAAGGGTGACAAAAATAATGAATTTGTTACCGAATTTGGTTTGTTTGTTAGTTGTTGTCCCTGGTTGTTTTCGATGACCGGCCCCTGAAATTTAAAAACTAGTGTAATTAATATTTTATTTATATATATATATATCCAATGAGGGGTGCGAACATTTTATGAGTCCGAGTCCTACCCCGCCAGACACACCTCAATTATTGTGTTTGTATAAATTCCCATAAATTTATCAAAACAGTTTTTTCTTAATATTACCCTCTTTTATACACAAAACTATGTATTAACTAGTTAATAAGTTAAAAGTTAAGTTAATTTTAACTTATTAATTTAACTTACTAGTTTTATATTTTTATTATTTAACATGAACTTAACTCATTTGCCACTGTGTTAACTCGAAATCAATTTAATTTGTTTGTATTATGCCCAATTAAGTTATTATTATTATTATTATTATTATTATTATTGTTTCAACATACACGATGAAATAAAAGAACGAGTAACTAGTATAAACAAGTGATAGGTTAAGCTATGGCTAAGTTAACAGCTTTCAAGAAGAAAAAGGAGAAGATATAAAATATACAATAAAATGCAAGAAATGTAAGAAGTTGAATATATGAGCGGTGAGTCTGTATGTCACGGCCAATGAATCGATTATTATTAATTTATTATCTATGTATCTATGTTATGGATGTAATCTGTGAGGGATTGTAAGCGTACACTGTAAAACCTGCCCCTCAATCCCCAAATGGCACCTCCAAAATCAAGGTTTATATATTCGAATATATCAATGCCAAAGTTATGGCGTATTAGTACCTATTTCTATTAAATCGAATATTCGGATATAAATCTGCCGTCTGCCTTGGTTAGTATATAGGTACCTAAGTATTAAACATACGAATATACACTATGCGAAGAATTATCTTACAAATGTAACTTTTTTCGGTGTCTTCGTCTGGTTGTTTTCGATTGGCGAAAAATTAAGTTGATTATTTTGGCGGTACATCTGCGGCAAGGCCAGTTATTAGTTATTAATTATTAATTATAGTTGTATAGTTTTACCAAATGTGAGAGCAATATTATACAAGTAACACCATTTTAATATCCTATATTATATATGATTATTCGATTTTCCCAATGGCTTTTATAATAATTAAAAAAAAAAACCGGAATAAGACCAAAAATGTACGGTGTTATGATTTCATTATTTTTAATTTTTACGCTTTTTTTTTTACCAGAAATATTTCTTCAATAACAAAACGACAAAAGATATTTGTTTCATTTTTAATCTTGTTGGTGAGTAAGTAATTTGTTTTTTAAATTTATTGTGCAGATTTTTAATAATTGAGCAAAACGGAAAAATCGTAGAAAGAACGGGGAAGTTTATTCTGATTCAGTTAGTGATATTCGTGGAGAATTATATAATCGGCTCTATTGGAAATTAAAACTTTAATCGTTTTTACGGTATTAAACAGTTAATCTAATAGATTTTACCTCCTTTCAATATAACATTCGATTGTTATCTGATAATAAATCACATCTTCAAATCACATTAAATTTGTTTTATGGCTTTTTAAATGTTCTGATAATTTACATTTGTCGAAGGTTTTGGATAATTATTAATTTTCGCTTTCACTGGCGATTCACGTCCACTGGGTCTTTGTAAAATTCTTCAAATGAGAAGTTAGGAGGTGAATTGTTGTACTCGTATATAAATAGCATTAGTATCGAGGATGTGCCTAATAGGAATTTCAACATTTAACTTCTATCCTTACCATTGTTTTGCTCAAACATTTTTTTTGGAACTAGTATAGTTGTAATATAGTGTAGATTCGATTTTTTAGTGTTTAAGAAAGAATATGTGTATAATATAAATATACAAATGATGCTTCACCACTCTCCTCATACCAAAACTTAAAAGTGGAAATCTCGTCAACGAATTCACAGAAATCAAAAATGTATTTAAACTAATACTCAATATATTTACACAATTTTTAATATAGGTTGCCATTTAAACCAAAAATAAGTAACAGTTTCCACCTCAAAAATAAGGACAGTGTAACATATTAGAATATATAAGTTTCCAATAAGTTTTTAAAATTTTTTGAAAAAGTAAAAATTTTGGAAAATCTGATTGTGACATAAAATTTGGAAGACTTAGTATATAAGTTCTCTTACATTAGGTTGCTCTTCGACAGGAGGTCTTCTATTCATCAAATTATTTGTTTGAATATCTTCCTCTTCAGCCTGCAAGTAAAAAACATTAAAAATAAAAATACAATATTTAACTTTGACGTAATTTCGAAAATATTATTTGTGATAATACGTCTTAATAAAAAATTATACAATAATTCATTCTTGTAGTTTTATATAAAATTGTATGTACTATGATGTTGATGCTAGTAAGCAATCTATTGAAAATACAATATAGTACAATAATTTGTATTTGTCTTTAATTTGAACCCTACAAATGGAAAATGTTTTCTCGAACAAACACCGTATGGATAACGCTTATAATTCTGCTCATTTTTTTTTATTTTCTAACCTTTTGGTTGTTCAGATCTGGATCTCGAGTAATTGTAATTTGTGGTTTACCGTCGGATGACTGAAAATTAGAAAGAAAGTTGTGTAATATAAATGTTATGTTGATATTAACTTTAAAATTTAAAATTGTATCATAAAGTAAACACACAATACACCCTCAGTAGTATGTTAATATGAGACTTGGATTATTTAATTAACAATTTGGCAATTTTTTTCTCAATGATTTTTTAATTTTTTTTTTTTTAAATCACCTTATGAGTCTATGCATGGTCCAAAATTATCAGTAATTAAATAAAGACCAGCTGCTAACATTTATTTGGTTATTACTACGGATGTATTTTAGTTTATAAAAATAGTTTTTAATATGTATTTAATTTCAAGTCTAAACATACTATTTTATTTCGATTTATATCTAAAATCAATGTCTATGGCCAGTGGCTGATTGAAACGTATAATGATTTTGTGCAGATTAGGGGTCTCTATTTCACGAACACGAATATATTTAAGAACATCAACGTACGTGTTTTTATGATAGTGGTGCTAAAGTGTGTGTTATTAAAATACATGTGTATACTAGACTACACTAGTCCGTGTACCCGTGTAAATATTCTGTGTTATATGCGGATATCATATATAATGATATAATTTTAAACCAACTTTTGTGGTATAATAATAATAATGAAAATTTATATCGTATTTAATGTAATGTTTATACATTACATTCGACATTTACTTATCTAAATTTTTCTGTAAGGTAGAATTTTAAATAAATACTACTAGACCTTAAATATATTATGAACCACTACACGATCTGTGTTAGGAATCACTGTATGTAGTGCTGATCAAGCACAGAGCGGCCACGCGGCCTGTGTACGGTGGCACATATTATATTATAGAGTGAGTCGGAGTTTTACCGTCTAATTCATTAAACCTAGTTCATATTAAATAAACGATTACTACTCTAAACTTAACTTGTGGACTACATTATTTTAAACCACCTTAAATCAATGTAACGTCTGCAATCACAGAAAGCAGTTGGTTCGAGACAGCTCGTCGACAAACTTAACCCAAAGTAAGACTAATACAAATAATCTGTGACTACCGGAATTAACTACGGCCGCAACGAATATACGAGTATATGAACTTTTAATATACGTGTAAAAGAAATTCAAAAACAAATGAGAGAATAAGCTAAATCAGTAAGAATTTCAATGCGAATAAACAGTGGAGGAATTGGTGAGAGGAAGACTGAAAAAGTGGTGGTTAGATGCGATTAAAAATGACATGAGAATAGCAGTTTTAAGCGAGACGGGACATCGGGTCAAAAGGAAGCCTAAAATGAGAAAGGCCAATCCCAAATATTCGGGATGAAGGCGAAAAAAAAAGAAGACCTATTAGTGCCCTATCAGCGCGCTGATAACATATTTATTTATAATAATTACAGTCTAATTTTTTATCATTTGACTCAACAGTTTGCTGTCTGTTATTTGTCACGTATTCAGCTTATTATATTTTATATTATATTATTATTCAGCTTATATGCAATTTAAAGTTAAACCATGTATAATTTTTTTTCGTGAATTCATCGACGTCTGTCAAATCAATCCGGCGGGGGCTCCCTTAAAATTCTCCAATCGGTTTAAAATCGGTATCAAATTTATTCTTCAATTAATTTTCAACTTTTTGCAACCTTATATTTTCGCTAGCATAATATGTTTAGTTTGTTCAGAAAACTAAACATTTTAAGTATTCACTTTAAAAAACTGTACGAATTTGTATTGCAGAACATTACAATAACTATTTCCTATTTGTCTTTGAGATATTTAGAAAATACTCACCGTTTTTTTTTGAAATTGAACAGAACCTGTCATATCATTCCTCGATTTGATCCTTACCTCACTATTTTCTGATTCTTGAGCATCTTTTTCTTGAGTTTTATTCGAAGAACTTGATACATCTGATCCATCCAACGTAGATATTACATGCACATCTATTTTCTGAAAATGTTAATCTACAGTTATAAAATGTTCAACAAACAGTTGAATAATGTTTAGATGTCCGAAGTGACACGACTTATGATGAAAAAAACGCTGATACTAAACTGACGGATGTATCACTAGTACACCTTTGTACGCGGAAAGTGAGGAAGGTAGCAACGATAAATTATTGCAAACACAAAACGATTATTCGTTTAGTTAATTATGTTTTGTAATGCCATGTTTTTTACGATCGTCATCAAAATATGAACTTTATATGCTTATGAAAAAACGACTACTTTTCATTCATTTTTTGTCTTACTACCAAGTACAACTTATAATGAACTTCGTCTTAAATTTTTGAACAATTTTGATCTGTCAAAACAATTTTAAACACATAAAGTTAAAAGTAAGGCTCACAAGTAGTCCACTATTTTAAGTGAATATTTGATAAGGTAGAATATACGTGGTAATTTAATTTATATTCTATATGCAACGAATGCATCATTATGAATCATTCACAAATTATTCTTTTCGAAATAGTATATGTAATATAAGTCGTGCCACTTCCACCACGTAGACAAGATACAATTCAGAATTCAACAAAAATAAAACATGGACATGAAAACTATTATTAGTTTTATTTTAATTTGTATAGAAAACCTGTTGGTAATTTAGAAAATAATTTTAAAATTTATTACCTCTAAGTAAAACTATACTAGCTTAAATTACGATGCAAATAATTTGAAACGTTAATCTTTCTAATAAATATTTTTTTTTTCGAGATGTTTTGAAATATTAAAGTAACTAGTAAGTACTATAAATACTAAACATCTAAAATACATCGTGAAATATAAATTTTAGGCACTCTGAATATTTTACCCTATTTTTTTCGATTTGACCGTGTGTTGTTATTTTTATTTCCATTTTAGTGTCTTGGTCATCTTTTGAACTGATAATCTATAAAACACCAAAAAAAAAAAAAATAAATAAAAATCACGATCAATAACATTGTAGTACTTTTCAAGGTTAAGTTAGGTTACCTTTTTCAAACTACTTTGTATTAATTTTTATTTAGAAAACGATTTCAATTATTATTAGTTATTACCCATTTCGATAGAAATTATAAATTTATGTTCAGTTTCTGTCGGTTTTTCAATTTTACAAATTGGTTCAAAGCGGTTCAATCGAAAGAGTCCAGAATAGTTTCTTAAAATACGCTCCCTTTAAATTAGAATTTCCATTAGAGCCACACATTTATTAACCTGTACACGTTTATTTAGACGTCCCCACATTGGCCACTAGACGTAATGCAACGAGCATGACCTTCATTTTCAACCTCGTAACTGATTTTATTAATTCCTCTTACTTACTAAATTTTATCCAACTCAAAGTTCCGGTACATCCGCAAAGATACCCCAAAATCTTCTATATTACAATCCACAGTACAGGCCTTGCCAAAAACTCACCCCTCTCAAGAGCAATGTCTCTATGTAATAACTAATTTTATATCGATTTTTTCCATGAACCCATAATTAACATTTACAAATCCCCATCACATTATTATGTCTACATACACATCACACTCTCTGTTAACTATTATTATACTTGTATTTGTTATTACTATATTATGTTTTATTTATTTATTTTTGTAATTACCTGTTTAATCTGTATTTCCTTACCTGTAATTGTCAAAATTGTGCTTTTGTCAGTATTTATTTATTTATCATTTAGGAAACGCAGACCGCATATATCATTAGACCATACAATAAATGGGAGATTATAATCACCAATGAATATAAGGCTACGGTTTGGGTAGTTTTGAACAATGAATTCGATTTAATTTAGCTGAGCAACATAAAGATCAATGGGCGATAAAGGTGGTATACATATGTAGATACACTAAAGACAGTGATTTTTGACGTCGAACTCAACTTGAACAATATGTTTCAAACCCGAAATAAACCGAACTTAACAATATTTTTAAAACCTGAAACGTACCAAACATAAATATTTTTGAAATTTGTTAACTAAATCGAACCTAGGAAAATTTCCAATTGAACCTAACTAGAATTCGAATTTTTTTTGTATAAAAATAAAATCTAAATCAACCATATAACGCAAATCTTTTTATAACTGAAGGGTGAAAATCCACAATCAGTATTTCTAGCATTATTAACCACTTAAAAACTGAAAGATTTGAGTTCTTAATATTTAAAATCCATTCATAAACCATATTTTAAATTTATAGAAATATTGTTCTTCTATATCTTGGAAAATATGTGGTACACTTCTACTTATAGTTTGTATTTTTATCTCAAATTGTTTGGAAGGATAAAGTGTAGTGAGTTACATGTAAGGATGTTGTGATAATTTGTCTAAATATCAAAGTTAAATAAAATTGATTGAACATCCATTAAATCCGTATCAGTTTCTGTTTAAAGTTTAAATAAATGCTATAAATATAGCTGATGAATCATTTTTGTGGACAATTTTTTTTTAAGAATTTGGTATCTGCATTCGATAGTTTTCACTTTCAATACCTGATCTTCCACTATTGTGTATGGTTAATAATTTATGGGCTTGTGACTACCATTTCTGCAATGTTGTTTGTAAATATAGACATTTTTGAGCTAATTAGTGGAAAAATAAGGATTTCTTAAATGGATTTCAAGTTGTGTCTCAATTTTTATTTTTAAAATTATAATTTCTTTATCTTTTATCAATTTTTCTCTCACCGATTTATCGTATTTTAAAAATGTTGACGGAGGTGTTTAATATGATTATTACATTTGTGGTATTGGAGTTTTAATATTTTATTACAAATAGTAATAAATTAAGTAAAGTCATTTTTTTTTAAAAAGTTATGTTCCTTTTTGACCTATTATTATAATATTATTGTACTTTCTACTTCCGAAATATTTTCATTGGGATAATAATCTTTTCTCTTTATTTAATAGCATAGCTAGTGGACGTCTTTACTTTCATCAAGCATATAAGGTATATTGGTTATTCTAGAAGCAATTCAATAACGTGTTTCATTAAAATTACTTTTAATTAGATTTGTTCAACATATTTATTATTTAGCAATGGATACTATGCAGTATAAATACTATACACTTGGCTATAGTGTAGAGCAACCAGATAGATAGATAGATCTATTATATTGCATATTTATATAATATATGTATAGGAATATAGGAATATAGGAATTTGAATTCGTAAGACCAAGAATTGATGACGAAATCAATAAATTAGAACACAATTTTTTTTTACATGCCTACGTTGTTGGAACCCCAGGACATATGCTATCAGATACTTGTAAATATCCTCACGTGATCCTTTGGTCATAGTCACAATTAAATTAAAATATTATAACTTGAGAACTTAACACTTCAAAACTGCGTGCACTAAGACAACGGGTATAAATATTATAACAGCAAAAGGTTAAATTATTGAAAGAAATTTATAAAGAAATCAAACACAAGTGATTAACTGTTAAATGTCGGAGTTAGCTATTCGAGGAAGATTTTCTATTTAAGAGATAGTGGTGCGTACTTGTATACGGAGTTCTCGACAAAGTGATCTTAAGCGGAAAAAAAAAGTTATATTTTATTCGTTTTATGAGGTAAAATTGTAAATATTTCTACAATGATAATTCAAACAGTGAGTTTTTGAGGATAAGTTGTTGGAATTATTATTAATTTATTTAGTATATTAAACCGGTATGTAAAAATTAGACTTAATTATTAAGTGTACACAATTTGTTATTAAAAAATATTATTAATTACCTACTTTGAAAGAGCGATGGCGAAATCGAGATGCCGTGTTGTATTAACTTAATTTATGTTTCTTATGAAATGTCGAATACAATAATATTAATGAACACTAACAGGTATCCCGAATGCACAGTATAAACTACAAATTACATTATAGAAATTTAACGGTTTATGCATACAACGTAAAACAGGTTATTGTTGTTTTTAACAAGATTATAACGACGCAGCGGCGGAATATTGCTTTAAAAATGCGAAGCGTAAAGAAGTACCTACTTACTAATAATGTAATAATTGAACATCTGAATTATTGATGCAACTAGGAAACTAAAATTGATTGTACTTAAGTTTTGCAATAATGTTAAAATGTAAATATATGCTGTACTATAAATTACTATCCTGTACAGTATTAAATTTATTTTGATTTTTTTTTGAAGAAGAAGAAGAAGAAAAAGACATTTGTTTTTATCAAATAAAGGAATAATGATTTTGTGTATTTTACTTACAAAAGATATAAAGAAATTAAAGTATTTTCCTCCCGAATCAAACGAATATCCATCATCATATTAATCAAATATATTGTTTATTACATTGGCGTAAATAAATATGTGAGCTACTTTTTAACTATTTAGAAAAACTATTGGAAGTCAAGATAAATGTTCAAATAAAGTACCATCAAGTAAAAAATTTGATGAATTATTATCCCTAACCAAAAAAATTGATTTCCAAAAAAAATTTATTAACTTCAACGCTAAGCTCAAAATATAAAATATATAGTTTTATATATTAAAATTGAATACCTATATATTATATAATATACATAATAGATGTCATACATATATGTATGTATAAATATAAATAAAACTGACTATTCCTATATAGCCAGTATTGTTCCCATACATTTTTTTGAGTATACTATATAGCATCATGTGCTTTACGTTGGGTATTTTATATTTTCCTTGTGGTTTATATTAATTATTGCGTACCTTTAGATATCAATTAAATAAAATAAACAAATATTAAAATTACAAAACAAATTATTCAACAGATTTTTTTTTTAAAAAAAATACAATAAATCATAAGAAAATTGTAAATTTTTTTATTTACAATTACTTAAATCAATACAATTTGTATTATTATTTTAATTTTGGTGGTATAACTGGTTTAGATGGACAATAATAAAAGTTATATCATAACGAATTTTTTTATTACGCAGTATATCGGTGATTTTTCAACAAAATATTGAGAATATATGACGTATAATATACGTATTATACTCTATTGGTATTCAATTTTAATTAGGTATATCGTATATATATATATATATATATAAAAAATAGCTGATACTGCTGATGGATGTGCCACAGTTGTAGGTGGAAAATTAAAAAGTAAGGACACATTGAGTAATCAAATTTATATCAGTACTTGCGCAATGATAAAATATTGCTAATAAAATACGGTTCTGAACGAAGTTCGGTTATATATGTAATGAAGTGGCCGACATTTTAAGATTTCATCAATTCTTTGCTAAAACGCATATAATAAATATCTACTACGTTACTTTTTGATCACTATATACAAATTATGATGAATCTCATGTTATATTGTCAAGTATTTTTGTTTGGCTAAAACAATTTTATCTACAGAAAACTAAAATATCTCGAAAATGTCAGATGTTTTTAAAAACCTCAAAAATCACCAGAATGTTTTAAAAGTTTTACCATATCTAGAAATAGCTAATACCTATAATACTATTGTGAGAAAATATCAGATATCTACGAAATATAACAAAACAGGACAATCAAAAAAATACTATCTTAAATGCGGTAAATAAATACAGTTTTCTTTTTGAAAAGAAGCTACACTTGATAATTGAAACAATTTTTCCTGTAGAAAAGTTGTTGACGGGCGGAAAATAAAATACGCATTACAATTAAACCAATAAATATCACTGGTTGTTAACTACTTGCAATAATTTCTATAATTTTTATTTTAATATGAAAACTTCTAGGTAAATTTATTTAAAAAATATTTTCTACAATTTCATTATAGGTACGTAAGTTCAAGCTAGGGTTAGGTTACTAAAACAAAAACTTACTTCATTTAGATTAAATATAATCAAAACAAAAAAGGTCCACGAGATATTCATTTTATGTTAGTTTTAATAAAAACTGTAAAGTCAAATATTGTAAATTAACGTAGGTATAGATACAAATGTGTATACTCTGTACGCGGCGCGATTGACGTCGGTATCCTTAAATCGCATTAGATAAATACAATTTGTAATTCCTATTGCGGCTTTTGTTTCTCCAAAAAAATAACTATTAAAATTATTCATGTGTAATGGAAACAATGTATCGTGTTTAGTATCGTAAAACCACATTTGAATGACAATGCACCGAACACTTGCGTGGTAAACTAAACTTCAACAATCTCCGTATTGGTAGTAATAATCCAAAAAGGTAAAATTTACGAAATTTTTCAGAAAAACAAAACAATTTAAATTTCCGCTAAACATATCTGAGAACATTTGTATAGTGAGTACTATTATTATTATTTTTTTTTTTTGTATCGCGGATGACACAAATTACACTTTTTTTAACACACGATTTCATGCTATATTTAAAGTTTTACACTGAAAAAACACGCACGATTATCAATCGTAAAGCTGTTTCAAGATAATTCTTTCGATAAACGCGACAATTTTTCGAGGCCACAGACAAATATACGTCGACAAATAAATACCGCGAGTAACATTAGTTTGACAAACTCGCTTAAAACTATGAGTAAATATTGCGAAAGTCTCTTAACATAAATCTATAAAAAAAAAAACCACTAAAATCAAAATTAGAAATTATTATTATATAATTTGTACAATATACCTTTTCTCGTTAACTTTTTTTTCCGTCAGTAACCAATTTTTTCAACCAGAAATCTCGCTCTGATAATTAACACCAATATGAATGATCTGGTATTAAATTATGTCTTGTGTATTGAGGAGGATTATTTTTAAATTTCCCTTGGATGTTTTTTAGTTTCTGATTCTGTGTGTAGCGACGAATGTATTGTTTTTAATAAAATATTTTTTTTTCTTTTGCACTGTGTACATAAATTTGACCATAAATCTTGCTCAGATATATATGTGCGGCATCATTTCTGAAAGGGAATGTTGTCTAGATAGTACTTTTGAAAGATCATTTTTTGATTCTCCAAATGGTTTTCATATCTGGGAAAAACCAAGATAAAACGTACGAAAAACGGTAAATTTACGAAAACAATGCTTTTATTATTTTTCAATTGTGTTATTTGTTATAATTCAGTTAAAAATATTCGTAAAGACTTGAAATTTGGACGAAAAATATTTGCTTTTTTCTAGACGTGGTAAAATTTTTAAATAATTTAAGACATTTTTGAGCAATTTAAAGACATTTTGATTTTGTGTTTTATTTTGTGCCTTTTTAAAAAAGTGTTACTTTGTTGTAAAAAAAATCGAGTTTAATGTAGTATTTTTTTTATAAAGGAATTTTAATATCAAATTTTGACGAACAAATTATGCGGAATAAATCTAATTTTTCAACCTTTTTTTTTTTTTAATTTATATATATTGTCTATGTATTTATTTAAGAACGACGTAAGTCAGAATTAAACGGATTGACTATGTTTCGAAATTATAGATTTTAGAATTCTGATATTAAGCAGATATCATATTATGTTTTGTTAAATAACATTATAATGGCCTTAAAGCATTTTTGTCGTGATCTAATGGCTATTTTTGCCTTTTATTCTGGAGATTCCGAGTTCAAACCAATGTGACGAAAAAATATTGTTTATATTTTTCATCTTTTACCTAAACAAGGAAAACAACAAATATATTTTGAATGTACCTAGAGACGCAAGCCATCGTTCCCTCAGAATCTTTTAATCGTAAAACACTCCTCAGGTTGATGTGAAAACTTTTCTACCAGAAATCTTACTTCGATGTATCAAGTGTAGCTAATTTTCTGAAAGGAAATTTTATCTTCATGGTAATTTAGAGAAATCGTGTTTTTTATAATTTTTGGGGAAAATTAGTATAAAATATCGGAAAAACGGAAAATTTACGAAGTGTAAATATTAATAAAAAAATATTATGGCCTTTTTTTTTGTGTAAAACTTTTTTACCAGCAATTTCGCTCTGATTTAAAATGATTTTTTCTGAAAGGACTGGGAAGGATAGGTTAGGTTCCCGACTGGGAAGGTAATTTTTTGATTTTTTCAAGAGGTTTCCTAACAAATGTGAAAAATTGAAAAAAAACATGGGAATATCGATAAAATATTAAACAAATATTATTAAAGAAAATATATAATAGCTATTTAATTATTTTACCATAATATGGCATATATATTGTTGACAAAGCACTACTATCAACCAAACTGCGCTCAGAATCATTTTATGGTTAGCAATAGTTTATCGTTGCTTAAAGGCATACATTAAATTACCTATACCCGTCTTCATTATCCTAGGACATCTTTTTTTTTACTATAATTGAGAAAAACTGAGAAAAAACTGGAAAATCTACTTATTTTATTATTTTGTTGCGATTCAATTCAAAATAATAGTAGATTTATACCGAGAATTGATATCGGCCGCTTTTTAAAAGGGGTAATGTATATTATTTTTTTTTTTTTTTTTTT